AAAGAGAGAAAGTAAGAAAGCAAGTCCCCAGGTCCAGGACTCAAACCCATGGTCCGCCATGTTGGAGTCCAGCGCCTTAACCACTACACCACCTGCCAGCTCCATAGAAGGTAGACGTTAACCCTAAAGCATTGTAAAAATTTAAATCCTGGAGCCAGGAGGTGGCAGTGGTTTAGAATCTGGACTCCTACCTGGTTGACCATGGTTCGAGTCCCAGACCTGGAGGCTTGCTTTCTCTCTTTCTCTCTCTCTGTCTTTCTTTGGTGAGCACACATGTCCCATACAAATATAAATAATAATAATAAATAAAATTAAATAATTCTTCTAAAAAATTTTAAGTCCTGCTTATCACAACTTTTTTTTTTCCTTTTTTCTTTTTTTAGAGAGATGTTTGTTATAGGGCGTGTGTACTCTCCGGAGGGAAACCAAAAATGAGAAATTATCCCCCAGGAAGCATGGCGATGCTGCAGTCCTTTCTCCTCCATTCTCCTCTCAGAATTTTGGGCACATATTTACATGCACCTGGCATGAGTTTAAAGCCACTGTGTCCAAGATTCGAACTGTGGTCAGCCATGTGGAGTCCAGCAACGTAGCCATTACACCATCTGCTGGTCCCATCATAGCTATTCTTATGTTACATATTATGTAACAGTAATTTATTTATGTATAAAATTTTAATTGTAGAGTAAATGACATTTTATATTCTGACTTTTTTTCTTGAAGGTAAAAACCTCGAACAGTAAGCTAATGGACCATGGTCCCTGGTTGCCTTTTTTTCCTTTAAAGAATTATTTTAATTTTGTTTGTTGTTGTTATTATTAGTAGTAGTAGTAGTAGAAGTTTTTGCCATAACGGGACCAGCAGTTGGCATAATGGCTGGGTCGTTGGACTCCCATGTAGTTGACCGTGGTTCGAGTCCCAGACCTGGTAGCTTAAACTCATGCCATGTGCGTGTGTGTGCATACCCAAGATCCCGAGAGAATGGAGGAGAAGGGGATGAAGGAGGGCCTACCCCCTGGTGGGGTGATTTGGGGAGCGCATGTACCCTATAGCAAAATCCTCTCCCAAAAAAAAGGAAAAAAGAAATTTTTTGCCAAAGGGTGCAAGTACTCACCAGAGAGACAGAAAGTGAGAAATCATCCCTGGGGCGATGGCCATGCCTCCATCCCTTTTCCATTCTCAGGATGTTTTTTTTTGTTGTTGTTGTTGTTTGTTTGTTTTTTTAATTTGAGCAGAGAGGGAATTGGGTGGGGCAGTGGGAAAGCAAGCCACCAGGTCCAGGACTCGGAATTGTGGTCAACCATGTGAGAGTCCAGTGCCCTTAACCACCTCACCACCTGCGGGCCCCTCCTCTCAGGATTTTGGACATGCATGTACATGCACCTGGCATGAGTTCCAAGCTATCAGGTCCGGGACTCAAGCTATAGCTGGCCATGTGGGAATCCAGTGCCTTAATCACCACAGCACCTACTGGCCGTAGTTACCTTTTTCTTTCAATTATGCCTGAGGAATGGGGCAAATTCAAAAGTAACAGAGTAACAAATTATAATGTAAATGTCCTTTTTGAATTGTCTTTGAAATCAAATTAACATTATATTGTTTGTAAGTAGATGATCCTTATAACACTGAGAGTCTGATTTTAAAAAGTTATTTTTATTTAATTTTATTTACTTATTAATTAATTAATTAATTTGACCAGAGAGAGAGTGAGAAAGAAGGCCACCAGGTCCTGGACTCAAACCATGGTTGGCCATGTGGGAGTGTGCAGCGCTTTAACCACCACACCACCTGCTAGTCCCCCAGGGTCTATTTTTTCTTTAAGTTAGAATCTGTATTTTGTATAGTTATGTCAGTTTTTTTATTTTTTTCCATTTGTGGTAAAATATAAACCATAACCATTTTGGTAGGTGTTGTGGCATACATTTGTAGTCCCAGCTATTCTGGAGACTGAGGCAAGAGGATTGAAAAGTAGTAAGACCCTATCTAAGAGAAAACAACAAAACACCAAAATCCCTTCTCTATTTCTCCTTTTGGGGATTTTGGGCTTGTACACACACTTGTGTTTTTCAAGACACAGGGTCCGGGAATCATACTGCATAGTTGGCCATATGGGAACCAGTTGCCTTAGTCACTATGCCATGAGCTGGCCCCCAGTGGTGTTAAGTACATTTGTATTGTGCAGTCATCACCACCATCCACTTCCAGAACCCTTTTTTTTTTTTTTTTTTTTAATTTGCCTGAGGATGCATGCACTCACCAGAGAAAGACAAAAAGAGAGAAGGAGAAAGTACCCCTCAGTGGGGCATAGCCGCATCACAGTCCCTTCCTGTTGGAATTTTAGGCACTCATGTACATCAATCTAGCATGTTTTCCAAGCTACTGGGTTTTGGATTCAAACCACATGGTCAGCCATGGTGGATCTGGCTCATTTTCAGAAACTTTTCATGGTTTAGTACTGAAACACCAACTCCTTATTTTTCCTAGCCTCTCCCCTTTACAATTACTATTCTACCTTTTGTTTTTGTGAATTTAACTCTAGGTACCTCCAAATACCAATGTAATTATCTGATTGTGACTGCCTTATTTCATTTGACACGATGTCTTCAGGGTTTATTTATGTTGAACATATAGTGGATTTTTTTTTATTTTCTTAGTTTTTGCCATAGGGCATGTGCATTTGCTAGACAAAGTGAGAAATCACACATACCCTTTCCCGTCCCTAGGGGATGACCACACCACAGTCCCTTCTCCATTCTGTTGGCACTTGGGGCATGCACACACACATGCCCAGTGTGTCTTCAAGTTTAAGACTTGAACTGTACAGCTTGCTATGTGGGATTCATCCACCTTAACTTCAATACCTATACTTCAAGTTTTTGTTGTTATTTTTCTTAAAAAAGGTTTCTGCTGGGACCAGCAATTGGCGTAATGGCTGTGTCGCTGGACTCCCATGTGGATGACCACGGTTCAAATCCCAGACCCGATGGCTTAAACTCACACTGGGCGCGTGTGCGTGCCCAAGATCCCAAGAGGAGAATGGAGGAGAAGGGATTGCGGCATGACCATCCCCTCTGGGGGGTAATTTCTTGCTTTGTGTCTCTCTATCTCTGTCTTTCTGGTGAGTGCACATGCCCTGTAGCAAGAAACCTCTTTAAAAAAAATTTAAAAAAGGTTTCTGCCATAGTGCCAAGTGTGCTTGCCAGAGAGAGACAGAGAGGGAAAGTGAGAAGTCACTTCTCAGTGGGGATGGCCACACCACGATCCTTCATTTTCTTCTCGGGATTCTGGGCATGCATGCACACATGCCTGGCATGATTTTCAGGCTGCTGGCTCCAGAGCCCAAACCATGGTCAGCATGTGGGAGTCCAACACCTTAACCACCACGCCACTTACTGTCCCCAGGAGGGCTTTTTTTTTTTTAAAGATGATTTATTTCATGAGAGAGAGAAAGACAAGCACTTTTGGACCAACTGCATAGGGTAGTGGTTAAGCCCCATGTATAAGGAACCAGATTCCACATGGCTGACTACAGTTCAAATTCTAGCACTGGCAATTTGAAAATATGCTTGATGGGGTCAGCAGGTGACATGTTGGTTAGGGTGCTGGACTCCCACATGGCTGATCACAATTCAAGCCTTGACCCTGGCAGCTTGCTTTCTCACTCTCTGTCTCTGGTGAGCATATGTACCCTGTAGCAAATAAGAAAAATAATGATGATGATGAATAAAATTAACTAAATCTTTTCTTTGAAAAAAGAAAAGTAAGCTTGGTATATCTGCATGCATACCCAAAATCCTGATGGGATGGAGAAATGCAAGAAAAAATTGCAGCATGATCACACCTCAGTGGGGGGTGTTTTATCTCTCTCACATACACATGCTGTCTGCCAATATTGGGGGGAAAATAGACAAGTACCCTCAACAGGGTCTCATGCCATAATTCTCCTCCCCTCCCCAGTCTTTCCAACCTGCCAGGATCATGGGCATGCACATGTGCATCAGCATGTTTAGATCAGCCAAGCTGATCTTCTATACGACTTCCAGCATTGTAGACTGCCACTGGGCTGCAGAGTATTTTTGTTCTTTCTTTCTTTTTCCTTAGAGAACAAAATAATAGAATCATAGTAAAACTATAAATTATTAAATCAGTTATCTGAACTAATTAATTAAAGTTATTTGTTTGTGTATATTTATTCTTTCTCTCTAACCAGGTTGGCAACATTGTTCAAGTCACCAAGCCAGAAGGAATCCACAGTTCTCTTTCAAATTACAGTCAGTATTGTTTGATTAGAGTGAGATTTTGATATTGGTGGGCAGTAATTAAAAAGCATTTACAAATTACTTCTGTTAACTTTTGTAGACAGGAAGCATATTTGAGGACAGCTTTTGAAACTTAGAACATTGTCCCTGAAATAGTATATACAGAATACTATAGTTGTAATTGAACTGAAATTTATTCTTAAGAACAGAGGAAATGCTTATTTTTGGGTACCGTGTTCCATGCCATGTATAAATCAGGATATTGAAAAATTTTAAACTGAGAGTTGAAGATTTTGAGAAAGGAGAAAATATCAACATTATTAATTTGGCCTGTAGGTATTATAGGTCTGTCATAGCCACAAATATAGCCCACTTTACAATATTAATTTTCTTGTGAATTTTTATTATAGAACACATATTTTTTGGCTGAAATAGGCATACTTATCATTAGTGTTGAGCCAAGTATATTTTTGGCATAAGAACAAAAACAGAAATGGAAAAACTCCAATGCTAAATTAGTTTACATTGCCCAGGTGTGTTTGAAAATCTTAGTTGGAAAAGTTTACTTAATTGTGAAAATAAATTTGCACAGTATCTAAGAATTAATATATATCACTTCCTTTAACCTCTTTTTTAAAAGAGGTTTTTGCTTTAGGGCATGTGTGCTTGCCAGGGGGAGAGAGTGACGGTGAGAGGGAAAGTGAGAGCTCATCCCCCCGGGGGGATGGTCATGCCACAGTCCCTTCTTTATTTTCCTCCCAGGATCTTGGGCATGCATGCACATATGCCCAGTGTGTGTTTTAAGTCACTGAGTCCTGGACTCAGATCGTTGTCAGCCATTTGGGAGTTCAGCTACATAACTGCTATGTCATCTGCTGGCCCCCCTTTAACTTCTTCTAACCAAGCCGTCATAAAGTTTATTAGACTTGTCCTTTAGAGAACTGTTTGTTTTTGTTTTTCTTTTTTGCCATAGGGTAAGTCAGAGAGACAGAGGAAAAGTGAGAAATCCTCCCCCTGGGGGATGGCCACACTGAAATCCCTTCTCCATTCTCTTCTCAGGATTTTGGACACACATGCATATGCACTAGGCATGATTTTCAAGTCACCAGGTCCAGGACTTAGGCTGTGGTTGCCATGTGAGCGTCTGACACCTTCACCACTATGCTGCCTGCTGGACCCAAAGACATTTTTTAATGCAGTGTTATTTCTGTGTGTAGATAAATATATATTAAATATCCTAATATTACCCTGGCTCGGACACCTACCTGTGAGGTTTATCCTTTTCAGTAAGAGTGGTTGATAGATTCTATCTCAAGAACAGAACAGTAGCTTTTCCATTAGTTAAGTAAAAATATTTGGAACACCAGTGTTTATTTTTATCTTTATTTTAAATGTTCTTAAAGCATATTTTTAGTTTTTTCTTTTTCTTTCCCTTTTTTTTTTTTTTTTTCAGTCTCAGGGATTTAGAGATGCTGTTGCTGCTACTGAATGTTCACTGCAAACAGAAAGTTCGTTCGGTTCTCGGAAGCGGTCACGAGAGCCAGAGGAAGAACAGTAACCCAAAAGTAACCTCACAGTATACTGTATTAATGCCATGAAATTCAGTATATTCAAGTAGTAGTTATTTTAAAATAGAAACACATTGTGGCATGAATGAATCAGTATTATATGAAGTAAATGGGAAAAACTGTTAAAAGACTATGATTATTTGAAAAAGTTCTGAAGCAGGGTTCTGTAATTATATTTTACCCTGTTTTCAGCTACATTCAGTAGAGATGATATAGGTATTATATTTCACAAATGAGGAAAATTGATCTCAGGTGGCCAATCTGAACTTACTATTCAGGCTGTTTTCCCTCCTTTCTTTGCCAATTACCAAGAAAATCGTAGTTAAAGATTTTTCCCCATATTTTTATTGTGTTTGTTTCTTTAAATGTAGCTTTGGTAATTTTTTAAAATGATGGATTCTTATTAAAAAGAGAAGCCAGCACTATGAGTCAGTGTATCATGTTCAGTTTTATTGGTAGGATATAACGTTTATGTGACCAAACTGCTTTCAGTGGCGTCAGTCCTAAAATCTAAGCCACTTGTTAAATTTTTTATGATATTTTATAATGTTAAAGGAAGATACTGAAAATGTTATCTCATCTAGAAGTTGTATAGAACCTTTATTTTCCAGAATATGTTGATAAACTCATAACTGTTTTACATTTTGAAATGGTGTGACCCATTCTAGAATTGTAGGTGTATTGATGTTTTCCTTTGAATAATCTTAATCTACTTGAATAAATTAAAATTTAGGATTCTTGGGTAGTTTTTTTTTGTTTTAAGAGAGATTTTTGTTATAGGGCACATACGCTCGCTAGAGAGACAGCAAACAAGAAATCATCCCCTAGGGGGGATGGCCATGCCACAATTCCTTCTCTTTCAGTCTCCTCTCAGGATTTTGGGCACGCATGCACATGCCTGCTGTGAGTTCTAAGCCACCAGGTGCAGGACTCACATCATGGTTGTTTACATGCAAGTTCAGTTAGGTAACCATTATGCTACCTACTGATCCCATGTAGTTTTAAAATCATTAAAAAATGTCTTGGTCACCAGCTCTGTGGCCTGGTGGTAAGGTAGCTGGATCATGGCCAGTGGTGTGGTTGGAGTCCCACCCCTAGTGGCTTGAGAAACATTCCAGGTCTTTGTATGTACGTGCCCAAAATCCCAAAAGGAGAGAAAGATGGAGAAAGGATTGCAGCATGACCATTACCCATGAGAGTGTTTTCTCTTCTCCCTCTTTTTCTGCCTCTCTGTTGCTTTCTCTCAATGGCAAGTTCTTACATCCTCTAGCATCAAAAAAAAAAAAAAAAAAATTAGCATCTGATTCTTAGTACTTCTCCATTCATTCATAAAATTTACTTTGGCTCCCTACAGGAAAAGGAAATTATTTATTTATTATAAAATTTCTATTAATATATTTTTAGAGATTTTTCCTATAAGGCCCATGTGCTCATCAGAGAGACAGAGAAAGACAGAGACAGAAAGAAATCATCCTCTGGGAGGATGACAGTGCTGCAGTCCCTTCTTCTCTATTCCCTTTTCAGGATCTTGGGCACACATGCACAGGTGCCCAGCATGAATTTTAAGCCACTGGGTCTAGGACTAAAACCATGGTCGATCATGTGGGAGTCCAGTGATGTAATCATTACCCCATCTGCTAGACCTGAAGAAAAATATTTAAATAATTGAATATTATGCATTCTTAATGATCGTGTTTTCCAAGTTTTAGTGACAGGTGGTATATTTCCTGTTCCAGAGTGAACACTAAATTTATAAAATTTTTTCAGTGTAACTCTTGTGCAGTTGATTATACTTAGAATAGCCATAGATTATCAGGACTTTGTTGAGAGTAAAAGCAACCATTGTTAACAGTTACACTAGGCAGTGACCATATACTAGGGCTGTCCCAGGCAAATCAATCTTACGGTCATCCTAATTATATAAGACTCAATTTCAAATGACTACTTTAACATAGGATGACTTTTAAGGGTTTCAAAGCTTATATTTTTATTACCATTGATGCCATCATTAAAAAAAAAATCACCCATCATTTGACATTCCATCTGTTCAAATCAGAAAATCAAGACTATGAGGGTGTTGTAAGTGATAAACATCAGTTTTACCACCAAGCATCAAATTATGTAATCTTTCTTTCTTTCTTTTTTTAAGTTTGTTATAGGGCATATGCACTTGCTGAAGAGAGAGAGAGAGAAAGTAAGAAATCGTTCCCAAGGGGTGATGGCCACACTGTGATCCCCTCTCCTTCATTGTCCTCTTAGGATTTGGGGCATGCATACCCATGTGCCTGGGTGTGTTTTTCACTGTTGGGTCTAGGACTTGAACTGTGCAGTTGGCTATGTGGAATCCAGCTGCCTTAACCTCCATGCTACAGGCTGGCCCCAAGATTTCTTTTTATAAAATATCATAATGTTTTACTTAAAAAGAACTATAGGACCTTGAATATAGACAGTTAAGTACTTTCGTTTAAACACATTCTAAACAAAATTTATACATTTGAGCATTTCAAAGTTCCATTGCTGAAAAAAGCTTTCTAGTCATAAAAGTAAAATGTGTTTATCATATATGTTAGTGTACACAGGCCGTCTTTAAACACCATACCATAGATAGGGTGGCTTATACAACAGAAATTTATTTTCTTACAATTGTAGAGATTAACAATAACAATAACAGAGTACCAGCAGTGGTCAAGCTCTAGTGAGAGCTTGGCATGATGGTTGAGGCAATGGATTCCCACACAGTTTGAGTCCCAGACCTGGTGGCTTGTTTTCTCACTTTCCCTTTTTCTCTCACTCTGTCCCTCTCTGGTCAAATTAAAACAAATAAATAAATAAAGTTAAATAAAATAATTCTGTTTAAAAAAAGTTTGACCAGGGAGCAAGAGAAAGAGAAAATGAGAAAGCAACCTGCCAAGTCCAGGACCCTAACCGTGGTCTGCTATATGGGAATCCAGCATCTTGACCACCATGCCACCTGCCAGCCCCAGGATTGTTTTTCTGATTAATTTTTGTTATAAAATAAATATATAATTTAAATTTTTAAAATTAATTTCATTTGCTATAGGGCACACACACTAAACAGAGAGAGAGAGTGAGTGAGAAAGCAAATCACCAGGTCCAGGTAAGAGAGAGAAGGAGGGAGGGAGGGAGGGAGGGGAGTGAAGGAGAAAAGGTGAGAAAGCAAGTCACCAGGTCCAGGACTCAAACCATGGTCAGCCATGTTAGATTCCAATGCCTTAACCACCATTCCACCTGCTGGCTCCAATCACTTAATGTTTTTATTTTAATTTATTTATTAATTGCCAGAGGACACTTGGCACTTACCAGAGAGAGAGGGAGAAAACACTCCCCAGTGGGGAATAGTCATGCCACGATCCCTTGTCCCCCATTTCTCCAATCTATTGGGATTTTGGGCATGCACACCCAGTATGTTTTTCTTCTTTTTAAAGAGTTTTGCTATAGAACACATGTAAGAAATCACCCTCTGAGGGGATGGTCACACCACAATCCCTTCTCCATTCTCCTCTCAGAATCCTGGACATGCATGCATACATGCCTGGCATGAGTTTTAAGCCACTGGGTCCAGGACTCGAACCGCATTCAGCTTAGATGGGAGTCCAGCTATGTAACCATTACGCCATCTTGTGGTCCCCCCAGCATGTTTTTCAAGCTGTCAGAGCTGGGATTCAAACTGTAGTGAGCCATAACCATTACACTATAGGGCTGGTCCTTGTTTTTATTTTTTTATTGTGATAAGATTTGCCTTTTAACCATTTGTAAATGAATAAGTAAGTGATAGTAATTGCATTCACAATGTCGTGCAACCATAACCACCGTTTATAAAAATTTCATCATCCCAAACAGAAACTCTGTACCCATTAAGTAATAACATTCCATTTACCATCCTGGTAATCTCTAAACTACTTTTCTTTTAAAATTTTCTTTCTTTATTTCGTTCGTTCGTAAGAGAGAGAGCACCTTCAGTAGAATTTTTTTTGTTTTGTTTTGTTTTGAGAGTTTTTTGCTATAGGGCGTGAGCACTCACCAGAGAGACAGAAAGTGAGAACTCACCTGCGTGCCCCCCCCCCCCAGGGGGGAATGGCCATGCCACAATCCCATCTCATCCGTTCTCCTCTCAGGATCTTGGGCATGCACACAGACACGTGCCCAGAATGAATTTAAACCACTGAGTCCAGGACTCGAACCACAGTTGACTACATGGGAATCCAGCGACATAGCCATTACGCCAACTGCTGGTCCCTTGTTTGTTTGTTTTTAGTGAGAGATTTTTGCTGTAGGGTGTGTGTGCTCACCAGAGAGACAGAGACACAGAAAGAAGTGAGAAATCACTCCAAGGGGGATGGCCATGTCGCAATTCTTTTTCCTCCATTCTGCTGGAATTTTTGGCATGCATGCACACATGCCTGGCCTGAGTTTCACGTCGCCAGATCTGGGACTTGAAGCATGGTCTGCCATGCAGGAGTCCAGCACCTTAACCACTATGCCATCTGGTGGTCCCCCTTTTTTTTAAGTTTTCCTATAGGGCATGTGCTTTCATCCAAAAGAGACAGAGAGAGAGGGAGAGAGAGACAAAGTGAGAAATCACCTCCCTGAGGAGTGGCCATGCCACATCCCTTCTCCTCTAGGGATTTTTGGACTTATTCAAACACACACCTGGTATATTTTTCAGTTTGATGGTTTCAGGACTCAAATCATTCCAGCCATGTGGGATCCAACTGCCTTAGCCTCCATACTACCTGCTGTCTCCTCAGCAGGGTTTTTATATCATGATCCACTTCCAACTTCAGCAGGTCCCGGATCATGGAGACATGCATGCATAGCATACTTAGGGCTATTTACGGATGCAAATCCAAAACATTCCTTCATGGGTCATCCTTGCAGAGTGATTATATAGCTGTTTCACTTTGGATCCCTAAACTACTTTCTATGATATGAATTTGCCTAGCATATATATATATATATATGTATATGCTAGCATATATCTATATATATATATATATATACACTAATTTTTTTTGGAGAGGTTTTCGCTATAGGGCGCATGTGCTCACCAGAAAGACAGAGACAGAAAGTGAGAAATTACCCCCGGGGGGATGGCCATGCTGCAATCCCTTCTCCTCCATTCTCCTCTCGGAATCTTGGGCACGCATGCACACGCATCTGGCATGTGTTTAAGCCACCGGGACTTGAACTGTGGTTTCCTACATGGGAGTCCAGTGACATAGCCATTACACCAACTGCTGGTCCTGATTATTACTGTTTTTAAAATTTGACCAGAGAGAAAGACAAAGAGTGAGAAAGCAAGTCACAGGTCCAGGACTTGAACTGTGGTCGGCCATGTGAGAATCTAGCACCTTAAACACTACGCCTCCTGCTGGCCCATAAATATTTCTTTTTAGTAGAATCACAATATATTTTTCTCCTGGGTCTGGATTATTTCACTTAGCATATTAAGTTTAGGGCAGTTGATTTGTCTTTGGAATATTCTCAGGTTATCTTACTAGCTTAAATTTTGTTTTGTTTTTGTTTTAGGTTTTTGCCATAGGGTGTGTGTGTGCGCACCAGAGATAGCAGGAAAGTGAGAAATTACCCCCAAAGGGGTATGGCCATGCCATAATCCTTTATCCTATATTCTCCTCTTGGAAATTTAGGCAGACACGCACATACATGCGCCTGGTGTGATTTTCAAGCCCAGGGTCTAGGACTTGAA